TTACTGGTGGCACCTAGGCAGCCATCTTTAGCTTATAGGGAAAAGAAAAGGGTCTCTGGACTCAAAACCGTGCGTGTGGCATTTCACTCTGAAAGTCCGTTTGAGAGAGCTTATACCATGTCACTGCGTCAGAGGGCTTTCCGCTGACCGCTGGCCCTTGAAAAGGTCCAAATCTGGAAAAGAGAGGAACTAAGCCATGGACTGATTTACTGGGGCTGTAGGAAGTTTCTCTTCTGCCAGACAGCTCCCACCAGTTGACCAGAGCAGGGCCGATCGCAGGCGTGCTGGCTCGGAAGGCAGAGCAGGGTCACTTCCATCCCCTGATGTTGTACCCACCACCTCCTCCTGGCCTCTCGCTGCTGCTGGGCCATGGTGGCTGCTCCTTCTCCTGGTCCTCTAGGCCCCACTGGCATCGCCCTTCGTCATCCGGAGAGGTTGCCCCAAGCTCTCTCCTCCTCCCAGCCACGCCTGCCCTCCCCAAAACCCGGGTGCAGGCCTCCAGGGTGCAGCAGGAGCAAGGCAGGGGCTGCCCCACGCTGCCAGCCTGCCGCCCCCACCGCCCCAGCCCCAGCCGGGGGGGCAGCCAGCCCCCGCAGCCCTTCGGCTGGTGGACAGCCCCCGGACCTCCCTCCGAGGGCTGCGCTGCCATCGTAACTGTCTTCCTCCACTTCAAAGGCCCCATTCTCACACTTCCTTCCTTTGGTAATGAACCTTCAATTTCCTCCAGGTAAATAAAGTGAAACTGGAAAGAACTGTAAAACAAAACATAAAAGTAGCCGAGCTGGAGAGTTACTGCCCGCAGTGTCCCTGGGAATGGTTTTTCCTGTCCTCCCGCTGCGGTTTCTACCCTGTTGTCTCCCACTTTGTTTGCCCTTCCTTACCATTTTTTATCTGTAAGCTCTTTAGCGTGCAACCTCCTCTTCGCAGAAGCATTTGTACAGATGCTAATAGGTAGAGAGGCTCCTCCCATGGCCCCATTTTTATTAATGGGAGGATCAGAGAAATTACCACATTTTTAACATCTCTTTTGCGGTAGCTATTAAACTTCATGGTGTAGAAACAGTGAGTGGATTTTTGTTCATTTGTTCACAACGCTGAACTCTGAGATAAATTCTTCTGTACGAGGTTTTTAGGTGCTGTGTTTGTTGCTCAGTAGGTTACATGGTATTTTCATTTGGAAGTGACATTTTACGTGACATTTTACTTTAGAACAATGGATGGGCAAAATCAAAATTTCAGGTCTGTAGCAGAAGAGTTATGTCTATTACTTAGGCTATTTAGTAACTTGCATCTTTTATAAATTCTGCCTGATTGCATCTCTTTTCACGAAATCCAGATTAAATGCATTTTGAAGAAGGGAGGGTGCTGACTGGTCACAAATGTGCTGGTCTGCAAACTTGCAGACCAGCTGTCCTACTCACTAGGGAAGATAAGAGGGCTCAGATGAAGGGGTTTGTGCTGCTGGAAACACAACCAGCTTTCTCAGGAGACTGCTTTGAGGGAGATTGCAGCAATATTGCATCCCCACTGTTACTAGTGGGTATTACCACACACATGTATAATTTGTGCTAGATAAAATCAGGAGGTAATAAAGACAGGTAAAAAGAAGAGGTGAGAGATCTGCTGTGTACTTTTTTTTTTTCTTCAGGAGCAAAAATGTCCAGGGGATGCCACATTAACTCGGGGAAAAGCGAGTGCTGCTTTAAATCAGAAAACTTGTGTTACACCAAGTGCTTTATTTTGGGAACCATTTCAGTATGTTATGAAGGAAAGTTGCAGACTAGGCATGTTTACTAGACCTTTAATTGCTACATTTAGGAGAAAGGCACTTTTTTTTTTCCCCCTTACCCCCCTCCCCTTTTTAACGACAAGAAGCCAGAGTTTGCTGTGCAAATGAAGCAGGCTCTGCAAGAATCAGATTCACTTTGGACGACTCTTCACATTCCTAGTCATCATTACATTAGGCAGCACAATTCCATCTCTGGTTGATGGGCAGAAAAAGTGGGCAGCCTGCCAGGTAGACGTTTCCATGGCTCCCAACCCCCAAAGGTGATGCGTTTTTCAGCTAATTCAATGAAGAGTGGGCTGAACTTTGGGTATAAACTAGACAATAGCTGCCTTCGCAGTATCAGCAGAATGGTTTATGGGAATGCACTCCACATTTGGCAGAGCATCATGTGACCTTACGGCTGAGATTTTGTGATGGTGCCAACGGAGACTTGGAAAGCAGCGCCCGTTCTGACTTTTTTCCTCTTTTCTTACATGGCTCAGAAAATGGTGGATCTTAATACTTGACTTTAGCCAGCCTCAGCAAGCGATTGAGCTTTGAAGCACAACTTTGCCTTTATTCTGGCTTTTTTGGCACACCACCAGGAGGCTGTCCCTTTCACGCCTGATAAATTCTGCTTCTTATCTCCAATAGAAAAAAGAAAGAAAATATAAGCAGAATATTTATACTTCATAACTGCATTTTAAAACTACCTGTTTTATTTTTTTATTGCTGATCTGTAGTTTAGAACAGCCCTCCTGAGTGTCTGAAGGATAAAAGTTGTTTTTTATTTTTCTGGTGGGTTTTTTTTCCTTCCTTCTGTTTAATGAACAGGCATTTGAACTGGGCAAACGGGGCGACAGCATTGAACATGAGATCATTGCAGCATAGTGTAGCAAACTGGCACCCTGCCTTTTCACCCCTTTGCTCCGGCAGATTTGTGCAATCCCCATTTATAAAACCGGCACAGGGGCGAGGTGAATTTTCTGGTCTCTCCCCACCTCTAGTCCTGTGCAGGCATTTGCGGCAAGGATTGGTGCAGCTTTTGCGCAGTGCTTTGTGCCTGGAATTCCGAGAAGAGCGAGAGAGAGAGAAGACAGGCATCCTGGTCTTCTTCCGAGAAAGAACAGGAGCCCTAAGAAGAAGAAACAGATCTGAGTTTGTCCTACATACAAGAGTGCAGAAAAAAAAAAAAGTGACTCTCCTGCTTCCAAAAAAAAAAAAAAATTGGCATGTTTCACTACAGAGACATCAGGATGTGTTAGAGCTTCTTAAAACAGTGTAACAAAATGAGCCTAGGAGATTGATTCTTTTAGTAAAAAAAAAAAAAAACAAAAAAAAGAAAGAAGGAATGAATTTTTTGTTTGTTTGGTTGTTTTTTTTTCACTATTGCTTATATAGCAGTATTTGGGACTGGGTGAAAACGTACCTTTCATATCAGGTATAGCTTCTTTTTCTTTTTTTCCTCTTTTTCTTTTTTTAAGCCGTTTTAAACATGTTGTTTTGAAACTGAGTCCTTGTGTATTAATTTTAATGTAGTCAGCTGTTCACACTTTTTAAAACTAACTTTTTGGGGGTGTGTTTGATCTAATACTGCTAAAAATAGAAAGTAAACAAAAAATCGAGGGTCTATAGAAATAAATGGTTAGGCACATTTTGTCTTAGCTAAGCACTGGAGTTATGCAAAGACCTTAATGTTACATTTATTCAGTCTAAGCTTTGGTTATCTCTAAGAAAGTTGTGGGTATTTAGATCTGGTTGCTAAGGAAAGTAAATTCTTTTTTTATAGTGTGACTCATGCTTTCAGTTTCTAAAGAGGGGAAGAGAAAAAAAAACCCAAACGTGTTAAACTGTAGGAAAGGATCGCTCTTGTAGCCAGTATATTAAAGTTATTATTGAGTTAATTCACATATGAGTTTCTTACAATTTGTATCTAAATCTATTACAAAGAAAGCAGTGTAATAAGCACTGGAATAAAAGGCACATTATTGGGACATTAAAGAAGTAAGACTGGTTTGCAGCTAGTAACAGTGACTATTTTAAGATGTTTGGTAAAGCAGCACTTGTCCAGGAATAGCTGAAAACAGTATTTAAGATATCCGTTCAGAATGTTTGTGATAAGTGCATGCAGAGTTAATGTAAGTTTTGACTATATGATGCTTTAGTAGAGCCTTTTTCTTAAAGCATTTGTCTGTCTGTTGTAACGTATGACTAGGCAATTAGAAGAATGTGTAACAAAATTCATTCTGACTGACAGATTTTGAAAAGCTCAGCCAAATTGGTGTTTTATGTATTTTGGATTTTTTTTTTAATATTTTCCTAGCCTTTTTAATTTATGTTAAAAATACAGATGTCCTCAACTAGAAGTTACTTTGAAACTTACAGTGTCTTTTTCATCAGAAACGCTGATATTTTTTTCAAAATGTTCATGATAGGTGTTTGTCTAATAAAAAGCTTTATAAATATATTATGAGTTTAAAAATAGAATTGTTTTAACCTGTGCTTCACTTTTTATGCATTACTGATTAGACAGTAACTTCTAAGATTATATGCTAATTTTGCCACCGTATATTTTTGTTGTTCTGCAGTGAATTCTGGGAAATTGGTGAATGGAGACCTTATGTATATGACATATATACCTCCATTCACCCATTTTGTGCCAGAAAGTGTTTCTTAGGTTTATGGTGATACTGCCCTCCTCAATAGTTTTGTTAGAATAATTACGTATGTCATTAGTACCTAAGTCTGTTGAGAAACCAAGGCTTGCATTAGCTTAAAAGAACTTTTTAAATTTCTATATCTGGTCATAGTAATTACATCTTTTTCTTTTTTTTTTTTTCTGTAAAGTTTTGCAAACATTTCTTGATTTAAGACATTTAGTTTATCCCAGTATTTGTATGAAGTTCCGTACCAAACAACCTCATTTTATGCACTATTTGATAAAAACTATTTATTTTTGTTAAGCATGCTCCTTCCCTTCTGGAATTCATAATAAAAATAAAATATTTGTGGGGTGAAAAAAGACTAGGAAATACTAAACGAAGTAGTCCCTTTGCCAAAGTGTGTATGTTCACAGCATGTCTTCCCATGGCCCTGAGAGGGGCGTCAGCAGTGTGTCGGTTTTATATCTTAAAAGCATGATTACTAATTTTGTGTATGTTTCATGTTGTTCTGAAAACACTACATAAAACAGATATTTCAAAATCTTTCTCTCACTTTTTTTTTATTTTAGTGAAAGAAAAAAAATTAAAATGAAAAAGGAAACTGAAGAAGTTAATTATACCAGAATTCAGCGAAGGTAATACAGTGATCTTAAATATTTTTTTTTGTTAAAAAATAAAGTTAATGGCAAGAACATGAAGCAGGTTAGCTTTAAAAGAATTTCTTTCCTTCAGAGAGCCTACAAATGTAATTTCACAGATACTTTTTAAACTTTTGTTCTGATTACTTTCTGTTGGGAATATTGCAGTTTGGGTAGACTTTATACTGTATGTTTCCATGAAGCTTTAGAATGAATTGAAAGACCAATACATAACTTTTTCTTTTGTTATGTCTAGTATATAGCACATATATATTTACTAGTATATTTATATTACTAGTATATTTATAGTACATATATCTATTTGTTAGTATATAACTATAATGCAGTGACGAATTATTTTCGAAATGTGGAATATCTATTCTATTCACACACAAAAAAAGAGAGAGAAAATCAGAGAAGCAATTTTATAACACTTATTAAGATCATTCAGTAAATTTTATGTGCATTCTTATTTCTGATACTAAGATAACTATTCTAGTTTGAGTTCTTGTCTTACATATTCTATCTCCTCAGTGTCAGCAGAAAACAATTATAAAAATATCATTCCTTCTGAATGCTGAAGTGTTGTATATAAAGTGAAAGCAGGTTTAAAACAGACTGTTCTAGAAAATAAATTAACATTGTTTTAAAATGCAAAAGGGTACGCTTGAACGTGCAAGATTTAATCCACTAAATTAAAAAATTAAAAAAAAAAAGTCATTTATGAATGCTCAGCTGTCATTACTGAACTAGAAATACATGTTTCAGTCTGCAAGAAAATGAAGCATTGCCCTGATTCAAAAACTCTGTTATTGGCAGCACTCATTCTCTTGAAAGGAGTTTTGCCTGACTAGCAATGGCAGAATTAGGCCTTCAGTGGGAACTAGTGGAAGGCAGGCATTAAAATCTTATTCGGATACAGATTTCAGTAACCCACTAAAATCATAAGAGACCTTTCTATAGCACCTGGTTTTAAAATTATACCTGCTTCTTATCTCTGTATTTTACGAATGCATTTGTGGCTATATTGATACAAGTTATTCTGATGTGTCAGATACTATGCGTGAAGATGCAATATTTATCAATGTTTTCATTTAGAATATGTAAGTTATAAAACTGTATCTGTGTCTCACCTTTCTGAATTACTGGTTATTGCCTCAAAGGACCTGTTTTCTGTCTGTTGCGTAGGACACACTACATTCAGTGCGTGATAATTTCTGTCGTACTGCTTGCCGGTCACAAGAAGAGAGTATTTGTTGTAGGAGTTAACCCTGAAGTTTTGCAAGATTGCGTTTCTACTTGCATTCTTATTATTAGGGAATAGCATTGATGGGAGGATTAGTGAATAAAATATACAAATGAACTGCTTTGATTAATAGGTGTTGTTTAATCAACAAGTTATTGTCAAGCAGTACTTAGATGCCCTGTAATATGAAGAAATAGCTAAGCAGTCTTTAAAATGTTGTACAGGAGCTGCACTCCAGTGTGCCTCATTGCTTTTCTGACTTGGTGGGGTGATTTTTATTTTGCGTTGTAGTACATGATATGAGCTCAGACACAAAGGACAAACCTGTATTGTTCACTTCTATGTTACGTCCAATTATGGATTCCAGTCTTGCCTGCTGTGTGCATGCTATAGTCAGATGCAAGTTGTTGGGAGTTGAGAGTTCATTGGAAAGGCAAAGT